GATGCCAATGCAGCCAGATGATCTTTAACCACTGCCAGGGAGTTTTCATAGTCAAATGCCCCCAGAGCCCTCTGGTGTGCCCTGGCCAGAGCCACCAGCACTTGGCGGCAAGGAAATGGCACTGACTCATCAAGCCTTGCAGGAACTGTCTTGCAACAACTCCTTAATCAGAAGGTTCTCCTTCACCTTCTGTGAATGCTGCCAGACTGTCACTGAAGGGTTTCCCAGACCTCCCACCACACTCCCTTCTCCATGTGTTCAGCCTCCAACTCATGCTCCAGACTGTTTGCAGCATGTCTGGCGATCACAGAGACCTGAGATGAAGTCCTTTGGCTCCTGGGTAGGATGGAAAAGAGGTGTTAGTCATCTCTGAGATAGGTTTGCTGAACCAGCACATGCTGCAGCTTCCTGATGGCTGTGCCTGGCACGAGTGGCAGAGGCACATGGAGTGGTGGGAAGAGGTCAGGCTACTCCTTTTGGCAGCATCTGGCCATTAATATAGATGAGATGTAATGTGACACTGTTTGGGGCTGGAAATAGAAGGCAGAAGATGATTGACAGTGCATCGCACAGATTAGAAACAGGAAATGCAGAGAGGATCAGCCACAGATGAGGGAGATGTGGTTGGAAAAGCTTGGGAGAAAGGGATAGAGGCCCAGAGTCTGCTCTCCTGAAAGATACTTATGAACTCTGTGGCGAAGAATGGACTAGAACCACTTAGGAGATATATGGATTGTGTGGATTAGTCTGAACTGGACTCTGTGTCTGGAATTGGCTGATTTCCTGCTTTGGGAGTTGTATCTATTTCCTCCCACAGGTTGGGATTGTTCTGTCTGCATATTTTGGAGTTGTCTTGGGGGTTGTTGAGCTCCTGGACGCACTACAGTGTTTTGGCAGTGCTTTTGAGGCTGGGAAGGAGGTGACAGCTCCAGCAGCATTTCAGGCTGTAGGAAGGCTGTGATGCCTTCCTTCTCTGTGCCATTTCAGAACACTGAGGGCTGAACTTTGCTGCTTCAAGTGTGCTTGACTTTTCTGACATCTTTTATGCCCCACTGTGGGTTTCGTCCACTCTCAGCAGTGAAATGCTTTGTCCTGGTAACTCCATTGCAAACTGGGTTGGAGTATTTAGTCACAGAAGTGTTGGAGTTGGAAGGGACACCTGGAGATCATCAGACCAAGCCATGGCTCAGCTGGAGCAGGTTGCCCAGACCAGTTGTCAATCTGGTTTTGTACATCCAGTGCAGACAACACAGCCTCTCAGGGCAGCATGTTCCCACATTTCATCACTCATACAGTGAAAAACCTTTTCCTCATGTTTAAACATATTCCAGTTTTTGCCCATTGACTCCTGTCTCTGGATGCCATTGAGAAGAGAGTGCCTCAGTCTGCTGTTCACCCTTCCATCAGAGATGCATGTACATGGATCTGATCTTCCTGACCATCTCTTCTCCAGGCTGAACATCCCAGGCTCTCCCAGCCTCCTTTGTCAGGTGATCCAGTCCCTCACTCACCTTTGTAGGCCCTTGCTGGAATTGCTTCATTCTGCCCATATCCATTTCCATCCTGACAACTTGTAAAAGGTGACAGAAACTTCCATGTGTGACTATGGCTCCAACATTGATATATATATCGCATAAAAATCTGGGCCTGCACATGTGCAGAAATCCATGCAAAGGTATCTGTGTATCCCAAGGATGCTGCTTGGCTTTAGAGAAGAGGTTAGAGCAGACCCTGGTGAGGATTCCACACAGGAAACATTTTCTTTTCAGTGTAGGTGTGAAGTTGGTGGTTCCCCTCTACACAAGGCTGATGGACCAAGACCTCCTCCAGCTCCTGCTGGCTGTTTCCCAACTGAGATCTGCCTTGAAATCCCTCTGTTATGCCAAAAAAACCCAACCAGGGAGGCAGGGAGCATCTTGGAAAGAGGATTTTTGGCAGCATAAAATCATCAAGGTTGGAAAAGACCTCTAAGATCATCAAGTCCAACTGTTCAGGAGTGTTAGTTGGTGTAACAGCCTTCCAATAACATGTTTTAATGATTGGGCAGGAAGAAGAGTTTGAAGATGGTATTTGCAGAACTTGCTGTTTACTAAGTAAAATGTTTTATCCTTTAGATTAGATCATCTCCAGAGCTTTCTAGACCATTCAATCCAGCTCTTTGCTCCTAGGAGGACAGGGTCATTTGTGGAATAATCTTTCATCATAGTATCATTCAGGTTGGAAAAGACCTTTAAGATCATAAAGTCCAACCATCAGCCAGCACCACCACCATGTTCACCACTGACCATGTCCTCCAGGGCCACATCCACACCTTTTTTGACCACCTCTAGGGATGGTGACTCCACAGCTTCTCTGGACAACCTGTTCCAATGGATTACAGCCCTTCCTGAGGGGTTGGCTCTCCATGGATTGCTCCCTGGCCTGGCTTGAGACTGGATGTGTGTGGGAAGGAGGTTGTGCCCTGCTGGGTGAGGAGGATGTGAAGCTGCTCTGTGGGTGTTGCAGTTCCTACCCGTGGTGGTTTAGCTTCAGTTTTGTTTCTGCCCTCTCTGGGTGATAAAGGCTCCTCTCACTGCCAGTGCTGCCTCTACCCTGCATTTGCAATGCTTATTTAATTCATAGTTCTCACGAGGAATTGTATTAAAAAAGATTTAGTCTTTATTTTAAAGCTTTCTAAGCTACTACTTAGTGAGGTTTGTCTTCCTCTTAGTTTTTCCTTGCAGTGTTGTTGCTTTAGTCATGATGTTGTCTGCCAGAAATAAACAGATGGAGTTTATTTGACTTCCCACCTGTGATTGCTGCAATAAACACACAAAGACTTTGTTGATTTGCACTAATAATCCTGTGTTACATGTTATTGATTACCCAGTTCTGCAAGTTTATCAGACGTAACAGAGCTCAGTCCTTGCTGGCTGAGCCTCATATTCCACTCAGCACATGCAGGAATACTGGACTCTGGAATTTGTTAAGATAATCTTTGCAAAGAAAGACTTTTTGAAAGTAGCTATTAGCAAAACTTCCTCTGCTATTGTGCAATGGGTTGTCAAAATGTTGTTAGTGTTTACCCACTTGATGTGATTCTCCAAGGAGAACTTAGAGCTCCTTCCAGTGCCTAAAGGGGCTCCAGGAGAGCTGCAAGAGGACTTGGGACAAAGGGTGGAGGGACAGGACACAGAGAGGCTTTAAACTGAAGGAGTAGGGTTAGGCAGGATATTGGGAAGAAATTGTTCCCTGTGAGGGTGCTGAGGCACTGGCACAGGTTGCCCAGAGCAGCTGTGGCTGCTCCATCCCTGGGAGTGTTCCAGGCCAGGTTGGATGGGGCTTGGAGCAACCTGGGCTAGTGGGAGGTGTCCCTGCCCATGGAAGGGGGTGGAACTGGATGAGCTTTAAGGTTGCTTCCTACTCAGACCATTCCATGATCCTATAATTCAGGATTGTACAGATATGATTCCCTTGGCTGTTTGTGCTTTTTCATCCTGCCTGAGACACTGTTTCTCCAAGCCAGCAGAGATGCTCCTCAAGACTAAACCTATATTTAGCTGTTAATAAATAAGGGAAAAACAGACTGTAGTGTCTCCACCTGAAGATAGTATATGTGTGCTATATAGTCTTCAGGTTGTGCAGTGTTAGGAGAGCAAAACTTCTTGTCTGTCTTATCTTCTCCCATCAGGCTCTTCCTCCACCATTTCTGCTGACACAGGGAAATATATTTGAGTTTTCATATGGACACTGTAGATTCTGACAAGATGTAAGTGAAATGTGTTCACTGATGCCTAGAAAGTTCTTCTTACTTTGAAGAACTGAGTAATCATAGAACTTTATAATTACACAGAATTTCTTACACCTTAGATTTTTCTTTGCTCCATAGCTGGGCTGAGTGTTTTGGGGGCAAGCGGCTTGTGCAAGTGCAGTGAGAAGCCAAGGAGAAGGAAAATGCTTTGGAAAATGCTGGAATAATAGCGTAAGTTGTTAGTTGAGCTTCATTTTAGCTGTTTCTTGTCCTGGTTTAATTCTGCAAACAGTTCTGGGGGTACAGATTTGGCAACACTAATAGTTCTATCTGGATGCATACCTACAGGTGTCTATTGGAATGTGCAAATTGAAGTTTTCCATGACATTTCACGGCCCAAACAGGCAGTTTGCCATGAAAACGGCAGTATATATCAATCAGTATCACCACATCCCTGACACCAACAACACCCAGTTTGTAGCAGGTGGCAGAGCCAGGGGAGCTGCAGCTCTGGGCAGAAAAGTCAGTCTCCTAACCCTGCCAAACCCACTCTGTGTCTGGAAAGGTTTGAAACATTTGCCTGAATTATCAAAACAAATGAGGCTTGCACGTCTGACATGCAAATTGCATCCCAGCAGGTTAAAGTTTGGCAAAGGGAAAGCAGAATTGTGGAAAAGAAGAAGTTTGTCCAGGGTATAAATGGAAGGTGAGCAAATATAGTAGGCCAAAGGATGGCTCTGCCACACAGGTCATTGGGGAAGTCTCATTTTCTGTCTGTGTCTCAAAAAATATGTTAGTTTTGTAGTCTATATCCATATTAATTTGTGTTATACAGACTCGGGAAGAAAATCTTGCTTGCAGAATATAATATTTTTGGTGGTGTTTTGAGGGATTTTTTCCCCCCTCATAGCTGGTTTAGAGATTAAGATTAAATTGCCTTTTCCTCTGAGGAATTCTCATTGTGAGTTGGGATTACCTTTAACAAAGTGTCTCCCTGGATTTAGATAGAACAGGGAATTTGTGTTCAGCTTCAAGTGGGAAGAATAATTTCTCTTAAACTGGCAATGGAATCTGGGATCTCCCTGGGATGTGGAAAGGGAATTTAACACCTGGATTTAGAGCAGAGTTGGATCTGTTCAGGTACTATTAACTCGGGGCTTTATTCATCACTATATTCTTTGCAGTGACTTGTTTTGTATCAGCTGAATTGAGTTTGTAAAGCTTCAACAGAGCAAAAAAATAATTCCCTTTCTTTTCTTTTTTTAGCCTTCTGTTGAGTCTTCAAGCCCAGGTAAATATTTTTACTTATTTCCAAGGGGTTTGGCATCCTCCTAGTGGGAAAGTTTTTCCACTTTAGCTGGACTGTTGTTGTCTCTTGAGCTTTATAATTAGGAATAAAAAGGAACAATTAATGGGTTTATAGTTAAACCTTAGAGTCACCTCTCCCTCTCACACTTTGAGTGGGTATGAGCTGTGGAAAATGAGATTTAAACTGTCCATGGAGACATATCAGCAGGGTTAGAATTGAATCAAGTATTGCTGAATGCCATTCCAGTGCTCCTCTTCCAACCCATTCATCCATCCATTTATTTTTCATTGTCACCAAATAGAGCCAAACTTCTCTGCAAAGAACTGGGGGGGAAAAAAGGGGGAAAAGAACTCAGTAAAATCTGTATAAATGTGAAGTTTGCTTTAATGGCAATTTTGGCAAAGTTATTAAACAAAGAAGCTCCCAAAAAATGAAGGAAACGACTGCCCTGAGTTGGTATGTGATATTTCTGCTCCCAATGGAGCTGGATTTAGGCAGGTTTATGAGTATTTAAGTGTTCAAAAAGGAACATTTTCCAGACATTTAACTAGGGACCTAGTGCAGATCTAGGGAACTGGTGGTTAAACACTTTCCTGGTTCTTTCCACCATGATTTTTACCCTCTAAAGGACTCCTCTCCCCCCTGAGTAATGAGATTATTCTCCCTAAAGGCTTGAGGGATTTGGAAGATATTTGAATTTCTGAGTCTAATTGGAGCATTAAAATGTCACCTAACTAAATCACTAAATTGATAACCTCTGTCAGGCCTTGATCTAACTCAAAACACTGTTTAAAATGTTTCCTATCAGGAGGTTCAGCAACATCTGATGACCATGAATTTGACCCATCAGCTGATATGCTGGTGCATGACTTTGATGATGAACGGACATTAGAAGAGGAGGAAATGATGGAAGGAGAAACAAACATCAGATCTGAAATAGAGGATCTTAACAGGGTAGGTAGCCTTAAAGTAGTCCTAAAGCAGAACCTTAGCCTCACCCCAAACGTGTGCAGGTTTTTATCCCTCATATTTGCAATTTAAACCACCCCAAAATCACTAGGAGGTAAATAAGAATAACTGGGGGAAAGTGGCTGAAGGAAATTTCTCCCAAACTGGTGAAAAAAAAGTGGTTCATAAATACTTAATAATGTATAAAGCTGTGCTTGGTTAGTCTCTTTTTGGCATATCTATGTGCTGGTGTAAGATCTGCATTTTAGAGCTAACATGAGTTAAATTATCCTCTGAATAAACTTGTATATTCCAATGTTCCTATTTTATAAAGCACTTGCACTCCATTAGTGCTTTCATATTGTTATTTAAAAACCCCAAACCCCATAATTTTACAATTATTTTGCATTTCCATACAAATATCTGTTTAATATATTAGAGCCTATGGTAGTGTCTTCATTTTTAAGGTAAAGTGCAGAGAAACTGATACACAAATCCTATTTACCGTCAGTGATTATGCCAAGATGACTTTAAATTAATTTAGTGCATTTAATCTCTATTTCCAGTGTAAACAATTTCTTTCTGGTAATTTCAGCTGTCACTTATGTCTTGTCTTAAATTATTTCTCAGGCAGGAATAATAATCTTAAATTCCAAACTAGGCTTGTTATAAATGCAAAGTGATTTAGGTGCTGCCTGTGGCCTCATTGGCTGAAAAGGCCTCCAGGACAGATCATTAATGATTCACAGATGCATATTTGATGTACAAATCCTATTAAAGCAGAAGTGATTATACCAAGATGACTTTAAATTAATTAAGCGCATTTAATCTCTATTTCCAGTGCAAATGAGAATTCCTTTCTGGCAATTTCAGGTTGGATATTAAATGGTGAACCATAAAGATAAATAAATAGTTGGTGAATCTAAATATGCTTCATCTAGATGAAGTGAGAATTGGAGCTCCACATGTCTCATGTGGGTTTTAAGTCACAAATGTGTTTGTTTCCCCTCATGTTTTGTGTAATTCTCTCACCACATTGCAACACTTGAATTTATCTCTCATGTCCAGTGGGTACCTCTAGCTGTGGGACAGCAGCAGCACATCAGAGCTTGGTTTATCTCATTTAATCATGGGTGATAGCCCATCTGAGTCTCAAAACTACTGTCAAGACAAGTGTTGTCCTGTCTCTTTCTCTTCCCCAACATTTACACATGTGATTTCATGCCTCCCTAGGCTGGGAATGTGACTCAGTGACCAGTTCAGCTGTGGCACTTGAAAGCATTTTTGAACCTTAATGGTTTCACTCCTGATTGTCATAAAAATTCCCCTTTCCTCTGAGGGCTGGAGCCTTTTCTTCTCATGGGTTCAAGCTCTAGTGCATCTGTAATGTCTTAGTTCTTGAGGTGACAGGCTGAGAGCTGGGGGTGTCCACCCTGGAGAGGAGAAGGCTCCAGGAAGTCCTTAGAGCCTCTTCCAGTGCCTAAAGGGGCTCCAAGAGAACTGCAGAGGGACTTGGGACAAGGACACAGAGGGATAGGACACAGGGAATGGCTTCCCACTGCCAGAGGGCAGGGACAGATGGGATATTGGGAAGGAATTCCTGGCTGTGAGGGTGCTGAGGCACTGGCTCTGTGGCTGTTCCATCCCTGGGAGTGTTCCAGGCCAGATTGGATGGGGCTTGGGGCAACCTGGGCTGGTGGAAGGTGAAGGTGTCCCTGCCTAGGGCAGGGGGTGGGATGAGATGGTTTTGAAGGTCCCTCCCAACCCAAAGCAGTGTGGGGTTCCATGATTCCATGATGTTGAGCAGCAGCTTGTGTTTTCAGTGCAAGTCTGTGTATATTTTGGTCTAAATAGCAGCAGCATGCCTGCATCTACAGACCTGAAGTCACCCTCTCTGCTGCTCCAGGATGGGGTAAATAGCAGGTCCCTAGGAGCAGAGAGTCTGAAGGGAATCCAAAGTATTGGATTTGATGGTTCTCAGTGATATATCTTGTCAGAACAGGTTTTTTGGGCCAGGAAAGCTCTGTGAGGTGGTACAGCAAACTGTCCTTAGTCACATCCAGACATGTATTCCATAAGACTATTTTTGTGTAGGAGTGTCTGCACCAGGTGTGACCAAAGTCCTGGCTAACCAGTATTCCTCCTTCAGCAGCCAGTGCTCAGGAAGGTGTCCCTGGGGTGAGGCATACCTCAGGCTGTACTTGATAATCTTGGAGGTCATTTCCAGCCTCAGTGATTCTGACAGTGATTTTCCAAAGCACAGCAAACTTGGCAGCTTCATTTTGGTATCAGGAAACTGCATTCACACTCTGCCTTGGAAATAGAAATGTCCAGGCTCCAGCAAGCTGCAGAAACTCCACTTCCTTCTGCTCTTGGCAAAGATGACACAAAAGGAGTGTGACATGGGGGATTTGAGGGGTGTGAGGCCAAGTTCTTCACCTCTCTGCTGTGGGCAGAGCACCTCTGAGTGCTGGGTGCCCCTAGGAGGTGGAGAGCATTGCTATGGTGCCTTGTGCATTACTCAGAGATTTTAAAGCCTTGGTCTCCCTCCTTCTTCCCATTTGTTCCATATTATCACTTGGTTCCTCCTTTTGGGTCACAATCATTTAATTTACCTTCTCTTTGCTGCTCATGGTACAGTTGTTATATCATTCCCCCACACTTACTTCTGTCACAGACACTTGAGTTATATATAATCCATTTGTTATAGACCCCTGGAATGGTTTGGGTTGGGAGAGACCTCAGTGCTCATCTCATTCCACCCCATGGGCAGGAACAACTTCCCCTAGCCCAGGTTGCTTCAGCCTGGCCTTGTACACTTCTACACAAGGAATTTTGATGTCTTGGATAACCCTTGTGACTTTTGAAACCTTTTCTATTTTGGCAATATCCTGAAGCAATACAGAAATCACAGTTTATTTTCCCTTGGAGAGCTGCTGATCCTTGGAGCTTTGGGGATTGTAATGGTCTATTTGGAGTTAAGAAGCTCCACCTAAGGAAGATATTGTCAATACAAAACCCCCAATATGAGTCAGTCATATTCCTGTTCTATGGTTCACACATACCTACAAATGGCAGTAAAAGTTCCTTTGAATTCCCAGTCTGTATCTACAAGTGGGATAGTGGTGAGGAGTTGTTAAAGAAAGAATATTCCTTTCCAAAATGTACTGGAGAACCTTTGTTTGGATAATTAAACAGGATTTTTCTGCCAGCTCTATTGCCAGATTTTAATGAAGGTCACAGCCCTGTCATGTCTGGGTCAGGAAAATATTAATTCCCCATTTTTAAGAGTTCTTTCCATAAAATAATATGATGGAGACCAAGAAGTCAAGAGGGAAGGTGAAGACATTTCGGTCCACATGGTCTGTGTCTGCTGTGTGTAAAGCTTAACCAGAGAGTAGGGCAGTAAGTGGCAAATACACAATGAGTACTGGGAACTCCTGTGTTCCTCTTATTTTTACCAAGCAGAACAACTCCACTTGCCTTTTACACTTGGGGTTGTAGGATGTGTCCAAAAACTAGAGATATGCTGCTCAGTGAAGGCCCTTAGGACAGGAGATCATTGGAGCAAGTCTAAGCTCAGCCAATAAATAAAAACATCTGATTATCAGCCAAGATGTACATAAAATATTAAGCAAAACTAGTTAGAGCAAGAAGACACCTCCAGATAATAACCAAAGGGCTTGGTCCTGAGTGGGAGATCATTCCAAAATGCTCTCTGAAGGTTTCTGCCCTGAAAAAGCTCCTCAGGGATGCCACAAACTGCTCCTGAAGGCTGGATAATGAGTATTGAAGGTAATAAAGGAAGGGTTTTGCAGACACAGCAATTAGTCACTTTTATTGATAAATTAAGTGCAATTAGTAACAGTTTTGGAGCCACTAAATCTGGGAACTGACTGGCCCATCCTAAATGTCTCTTCAGAATGGGTCAGCTTCCCAAATACAAGGTTTTTAAATGTGTACATGTTTCAGCAGATTTGTTTCCAGCTGTGGATGGGTTTGTAGACAGCTTAAAATGTCTATGAGTCTGTAAAGATTCCTATATTTACCTGGATATCAAGTGGTCCTGAATGTAAGGTGATCCCTCGCCTCCATCCAAACCTTCACCTCTTGTTTTGCCCAGAAAGAGGAGAGCTACAGACACAGAGAGCTGCACTTTGGGTGTCATTTTGTGCTCAAAACCAGGCTAGGAATTGTCCCTGCACCACAACTTCTCCTCAGAGATTGAATTCCATGTTCCAGCCTGGAAGTTGTGGTTCTGGTGGTGCTGAATCCTTGGAGTCACTGCAGAAGTTCCTGCCTTGCTCTAGGACAGGTTCCCACCTCAGCTGGGTGAAGCAGTTGCTGCTGACACACACTTAATTTGGTTTTTTTCCACAAATTTCTACTAAATACCATCATTTTTCCAGGGAGTTTTTTGGGCAGCAGAGGGAATTCCACTCTATATTCCAATAAGGAATGTGTTTGCTTTGGGTGCTGAAGGGCTATAATAAACCCAACCCTTTTTAATTAGCTTTATGATGACCTCTTGGAGAGCTTATTGATATGTGAGGTGTGCTGCAAATGTAGAGAGGACTGGGAAATAAGATGATCCTGGATAAACATTCCCCACACTTTTCTTAGGAACCAAAGCTTCACATTTTGCCTGTCCATTCCCTTTGGAAAGTCCATTCTTAGTGTCCATGATCACCATTCCTCTGGTTTGCTGGGCTGTGTTTCAAGTTTAAAGTGTTCGCCTTTGTGCTGTAAAACAGATGTGGAATGTGAAATATCCTGGTTAAAATCCCACCCTTTGTTTGGATGTTCCTTAGGAAAGTGATATGCCAATCCAGGAGCTGCTCAGCCGTTATGGCTATGATGGGACCATCCCACTGCAGGAGGATGAGGAGGAGGAAGATGAGGAGGAGGAAGAGGAAGAAGGAGAAGATGATGATGATGTTGATAATGATGACAACAGTGGCTGTAGTGGAGAAAACAAGGTAAGTGTTTGAAACTGGTTTGCATGGAGCTGCTCTGCGCTCAGCCACTCACAGGTCACGGCAGGAGTCATCCATAATAAAGTTGATTTCAAGGACTTTGTGTGCTGAACTCTAAGATTTGTGCTTATTTATCCATCTGGATTTTCTTCATTGCTCTTAATTCCATCTCTGTCAGCCCAAACTGTTGCTGAAGCTAATTAAAACGCATCAATACACGGAGCAGCAGCTAAGAAAGGACTGGAATTGTCCCTCAGAAATTGACTTCACAACTGACATTTGAAATGCCTGTAGAGATGTGGTTGAAGTCTTGTTTCAAGGTGATGACTAGAACTGCACAGTGAAGGGTGAAATTGAGTTAAATGTGTCTTTGCAATCAGATCACTGTAAGTTTTCAGTGTGAGCATTTGAAAGTGTTTTTCCAGCCTGGCAGCTCTGGTTGTACTTCAATTAACTGAACCTAATGCTTCAGTCTTTGCAAAATGTGTAGTTTTGAGCTTAGCATCTTAAAAATGCTGTTCTGGGTGCTCTTAAAATAGTTGTTTTTTTCTGATTTTAGAAGAGTCTTTTCTAGTTGGGATGTCACAGATATTTGTAACAGTCCTGTCACAGGCACAGCTGTA